CTGTCAAATAGATACAAATATGAATCACATAATCATTATTATTTATTAAAAATACATCAAACTGTGATTTGCATAACCTGTTCTTTTATTTTCTTATTAAAATATGAGATGATTAGGCAAAATGTTATTTGGCATAATTAGTTACAGATTAATTCATTTGAAATTACATCTTTGGTAATTGTATTCTGCAACTATTACTAGCATAGTTATTATTTAATACAAAAAAAAACAAAGATAATTAAGCAAGTGTAGACATATTATGCGACAGATGGACGACAAAAATGAGGAGATTTGGTAAACATATATATATATATATATATATATATATATATATATATATATTGTATGCGAATGAACCTACGACATTTATGGGAATAAAAGTGCATAATAATTTTTGAAAAATTCATGTTGTGTAATTAAACTAACATATTCAAGATGCAATCGCCATAAAATAAATAAAAGACATGTTTTAACAATAAGTATTTATATTTCATAATATTTAATAATATTACATATTAAAAAATATATTACATATATATAAAAAAATATTACATATTAAAAAAGCAAACTATGTACTAAAACTATTACATAATATTTAGTAATAAGCTTATCGATCTCCCACAAAAGGAACGAATTTTTCACATCCTTTATCATCTAAAATATCAAAATCAAACATGTCGACGCCAACTTTTTTGAAGATAATGGTGTCCCCTTGTTCAACAACACTCTTGTGGAGTAAGGTACGACATCCCCTCTAAAAAAAAAATAAACGTTGCCTACATTGACAACAATGACGACCCTCGAGATTTTACCCCGACTGTTTTCGAACTGATATTGTGTTATTTTCTCCTGTCGAAAATATTCATCTGTGTTACAAGAGTAGAATTTGCATTTAAACTCAACTTGGTGTAAGAACTTATTTTGACTAAACTTAATAAATATGAATAATCAATTATTAAAATGAAATAATAACTTCTTATTGTTATTAACATGCAAGGATAGACGATCTTAACCAATAAAAACATTGACATTTTTTTTTTCTTTTTTTGGTTACAGATAGTATTAGGGATGTGGATGGAATTTTTGGACTTTATTCATGTAGGTTTTATAATGATACGTAACATTTCAAGTTGCCTCATAACCATTACTTCATCGTCATGCAGAAACGACTGTTCAATGACGTGAATGATTGCCTCGTAAAATGTGATTCATTATGCAACTTTTTTTTTGCATCAGAAAAGATCGCAAAGTAATAATATTTTTGAAATATGAAATTCAAATTATGCCATTAAATTGTGTAAGTGACACATCAAAATTGTGATCCTTAGTACCATTTTTTATTCTCTTACTAAAATATTATATTATTAGGTGAAGAATCGGACGCATAATTTACCACATATTAATTATTTTGAAATTTATTTTTTTAGTAAGTTCGCATTCTGAGAATATTACTCGACACTTTTTCTGATGCATATTTGTCGCATATTTATTATCTAATACAAAAAAAAATAATAGAAGTTTAAATGCCAACGGTTTGAAGATTTTTATTTTTCAATTTGGTTCGGCATTCAGGACTATCCGAACAACTCGGTTCGGAGATCCGAAGGTTTTGATTTGTTTTTAAAAAAAATTGAATGACTATCAAGTTATATTTAAATTTTGATGTGTTTTTGTTTTTTCTGAAAAACAAAAATGAAAATCTAACATTATCAATATTGAAAGTTTTGGTTCAGTAATTTAGGTTAGTACGGTACCGAGAACCGATTTCTCAAATTTTGATGTGTTCTTAATTTAGGTTCAATACGGTATGGGATAGTCGGTTTGGTCTCGGTACGGATATTTGAGAAATCTCCAGAACCGTACCAACTTTTTCTTTTTTATTTTGGTTTGGTTTGGTTCAGAGAAAGTCAAACTGTCATCACTTGTTTTTGTGTCAAAGTTGTTTCGATTCCGTTTTGGGATGGTTCGGAGTTCTTCGAGTCCCATGCTCTACACTATCATGAAAAATATCTTGCATAATTATTCTAGGATTAATTCATAATCGACTATATTTGTATTTAATAGACTCAAGTGTATAACGTGGTCGCACAAATTGGATGTCAACCAAAGGTTATCTTTAAGAGGAAACCTCTATTCGGAATTTACAATTGATATCGAGCAAAAAACAAAAAACAAAAACTTGCACATATTAAAATCAATGATTTGTATCATATATTGTTTGGTTGATGAGACTCATCCTATTCAAATCAATAATATATGATCTTGTATTTCT